ATAGCATCTTCGGTGGTACATTCATCTCCAGCTGAAAGATTTTCACCCTTCCCCATCATGCTAAATCTTGTTTCACCTCGTACCATACTTCAACATAGTTATTTGAATTAAGCGATGCATTTTTATTTCTTAACCAAATACCCAAATATTTCACCTCACACCCACACCCACCCCAATGCCCGTTTTGTTTTGAAGACCCTCTTTCTCTTGATGTGCCAGATTTTTTAGCCAGGATTTTAGTTTAGTTTTTCTTTTATATACATATACATATAGAGAGAGAAAGGGCCTTTTCTGCAGTGGCTCCCTGTCTGTGCAATGCTCTCCCCAGGGATGTTCGTCTGGCACCTTCATTATACACCTTTAGGCGCCAGGCAAAAACATTCCTTTTTAACCAGGCCTTTGGTTGATCCGATTTACATCCTATGCCCTTTTAAAATGTGAGTTTTTTTTGTTGGGGGGGTATTGGGTTGTTTTTTATTTTTATTAGGAATTTTGTGGTTTTATATCTTGATTTTATTCTGTGAACCGCCCTGAGACCCCCGAGTATGGGGTGGTATATAAATTCTAATAATAATAATAATAATAATAATAATAATAATAATAATAATAATAATAATTTTCTCAGTTTTTCAACTTTTGTGACATACAAACATCCAATACAAAAATATCCCATTTGACTTCCCTCCCCACCTCTTTTGTGGTTCCTTCAATTACACTTTTCTTACTGCATCTCCTCAATAATCCATTTTTTTGTTTACTCCCCTCTTTATTTCTTAGTCAATAGTTTTTAAGATTTAAGGTAGTTTTTAATTTTAAGATAATCCTGCAAATGAATTTAATTGTTTACAATAAGTTTTCAAAGCTCGCTCCATCTTCCACGTGACAGCCCTGAGATCTTGACTCTCTCTGGTGTCGCTGGATCAAGTTGATAAATTTTCTTGCATTACCTAAACTAAACAGTTTTAAATGGATTTTGAATAAACGTGCAATTAAATTTTTTTTAAAATAAAAAACGCATCCATTTTTTGGAACGCCATTTTGTTCCAACAATTCAGCCATTTTGTGGAACGCCATTTTGTTCCAACAACTCAGACATGTTGTGGAACACCATTTTGTTCCTACAACTCAGACATGTTGTGGAACGCCATTTTGTTCCTACAACTCAGGCATGTTGTGGAACGCCATTTTGTTCCAACAACTCAGCATATCTCCGGGAGGCCCCAACAGCTCCTAGAGATGTGGTCGCTGCACCTTTTTGGGGGGGGGGGCGTGGGGGATTCTGGAGGAATCACAAACAATAGGACAATTCCTTCCTGACTAGGCCCAACAAAACTGTCGCGCAAAGTCGCGAGGGAACTTTCCAAGTTCCCTGAGAGCTCCTCTCGCTCCATCTTCAGGCAGGGGCACGGGGGTGGGTGGATTCAAAAAGTGGGGGACAGGGAAGAAGCACAGCAAGACGGAAACAGCCCAAAGACTGGACGTCAGTAACCATCTTCAGTGGCCCAGGCTGCCTGGTTATAGCTTCCCCCTGCTAGTCAGTTGCAAGAGGTGCAGTTGTTGTAAACAAAAATTGCCCTTTTCCCTTATGGGGTATCCAAGAGCCCATATAGAGTCCTTACATAGGTTCCCTATTGGTAGGAGAGAATAACAGAGGCCAACCAGAGAATATTGAGAAGCAAAGCAGCTAGTAAGCCTGATCTTTATTGATCTGTTGCAACAGGGTGCTCCCCTCGCCCGCAGGAGAGTTGGAGGGACCCAGAAAAATGGCATGCAAGGCCTTCTAAAGACTTTTGAAATTGCCACCCTGTACTTATTTAATACTTATTTCCTGGGCCAGGTCGCAGGCTCTGTTCAAACACAGACATACCCTGAAGACAGGATTTGTGAAGGAAAAGACAATGGGGAGGCTTTTCCACTTTGACCTTGCAGAGAAAACATTTGCTCAGTTTAGGAATCAAAATGGCTTCAGGTCGGTCTTCCTGTGCTGATCTATGTACGTGCGGTTATGAACATTACCATATATCTAAGACCTCAAAATTCCTATCACACAGTCTTGAAAAGCTGGTTTCCTAACATTTCCTGCAGGGAGACTTGCTGGGACAAAGGACCCTCCACCAACCGTTGCATTTCCCCCCACTTTCTCGGCACTGCGTCTGGCACTGACCTACCACAGCCCTGGGCCCCATTGCACCACCTAACAAGATTAGTGTGGATATGAGACGGGTCTTTCCCTAACCCCTTTTTTCCTGATGTCACTGCAGATGATTCACTCAAACGATCATTTACACCCTGATGTAAGCCCCAGTGTAAGGACGCGACTTATAAAATATTGGGGGGGCCCGGGAAAGCTCATGAATAATAAATAAGCTCATGAATATCCAAATAAAGTCGCCTCGGCCTATAATAGGGCAAGCCACGCCGCCCCAGCCAGCCGATGGCGGCTGGGAGGTTTGGTTGGCCAGTCGGGAATTCCCCGTTCTCTGCGGGCTGAACCGCAGAGGAAGGAAATTCCCCGGCAGTGCCTTGCAGTGGCGGTGGTGCTGCGAGCAGCGAGCAGGAGCCCCCACCCCGGCGCCCGAGTATTATTGGGGGGGCTGAGCCCCCCCAAAAATTTTTTTGAGGGGGCTCGAGCCCCCTCAAGCCCCATGGGGTCGGCGCCTATGCCAGTGTATGGCATGTGGATGAAATCTGTTTGAAAAAAAACCCAAGCAATGGTTGCATTACGGCTTGGGTACGACTTGCATCTTGTTTGTTACTTTATTACATGGGTAGGCAAACTAAGGCCTGGATCCTGCCCAATCGCCTTCTCAATCCGGCCCACGGATGGTCCGGGAATCAGCGTGTTTTTACATGAGTAGAATGTGTCCTTTTCTTTAAAATGCATCTTTGGGTTATTTGTGGGGCATAGGAATTCGTTCATTTATTTTTTCCCCAAAATATAGTCCGGCCCACAAGGTCTGAGGGACAGTGGAAAAAGTTTGCTGACCCCTGCTATTACAACTACAGCAGTGGGGATTAAACTGCTGATCCTAAACGGAATAGCTGCCTGACCCTGCTTCAGATGTAACTACCACCCCCTACTGAACCAACAGCTCTCAACTGACTCCCAACTGCCTCACCGCCAACATTCAAACTCCTTTTGAACATTCAAACCCCTTTTCAAACCCAACTGCCTCATCGCCAACATTCAAACCCCTTTTCCAGTCTTCAACAACATTCCACGCTCCCTCTCCCCTCTCCCTCTCTTATTAATATTCCCTTAATAATTCTAATATAATTACCTTGTAAATTTATTTGGTTTTTCAAATTAAAGTTCTGCAATCCAACATACATCATAAAAACAAGATTCCAAAGAATCTCCTGGACTTCCCCCTCCTCCCCTTGGTGGACCCTATTGTTAGTCATTTCCTCCTGCATCTTTTATAATAATCCAAATCTTTTACATCTCCATTATATCCAAAATTCACCAACTGAACTACAAGTGTTATTCCAATCCTACTAATGATTTTAACTGTTTGCAGTGATTTTTAAGAAAAATTATAAATTTCCCCCATTCCCCCTCCCCCCCCCCAAATGATGTTGGGAACTGTAGTGTTTTATAGTTAATGATTAAAAACCGGAGGGCAAGGTGAGAAGAGGTGGCGGAAACCCCATAGCTAAATTTACCCTGGGCAGGTTAAAGAATCTGTTCTGCCCTTAAAGAGGGATTAAGTTTGTTTAACGTTTGCTCCATGTCAATTCATGTGGCAAACACCACAAACCGTATCATTGGTTGAACTGTGGCAGTTGAAAATTTTTATATGTAAGCCCCCTTGCCTTCCATCAGGGGGAAAAGCAGGGAATAAATAAATAATAATAACTACCATTACTACCCGATTTTCCACACAAAAATATAAAGGGGGATCCTGAACATAAGCATGCAATGAAAGGGACGTGGAACTAAAACCCTTCCTTTACCATTCTGAGTGCGACTTGTAAGATCTTGCCTTCTCCCATCACAGGTTCCTCATCTATGTTCTAAAAAGCAGATATTTCTCTCCCCCCCCAAAAAAATGGGAACTGTAGTTTGTTATGGTTTCTGGGAATTGTAGAGGGAAGCTACAATCCCCAGGATCCTTTGGGAGAAGTCATGTGCTTCAAATGCTCATTGGAGGCACTTTAAATCATAGAATCACAGAACTCTGAAGTTTCTCTTTATAATAATTTTTATTCATTTTCAATTACCATCCAAGAATAGCCTCATTATAACAATACCAAATTATAATAGAATTACTAATAATTTAGGTGGCCCCCACGGGCTAGATTTGATGGTTTGATTATTTTCTTTTTTTCTGCGTTCCAAAATCTAATTAATTTCAATTACATTCCAGTTAAAATAATAATCTTTTATACAACAACTGCAATATTAATAACTTTCATTCGTGTTGACACATTAAATGATTTTTAGAACTACAAGTGCGACACTCAAACTATATCCTTGTTCTTCCTGTGTGTGGCAATTATTCTGTCCTTGATGTTTCTTCCTGTCCTTGTAAAATGTTATGTCTACAAAAAGTATATAAAGATTGGAGAATCTTTAAAGAATATTTAGAAAACGATGGAATAAAAGGAAACATCTTGGCAGAATTAGACTGATCCCTGTATTGCATAAATATAAGTTTGTAGGGAGGTAAAAAGAAATTATGTAAGAAATATGTTACTGTGTTGTATAAAGTAATGGATAGACAAAGTACAGTGAGATTAATTGGAAGTCAGTTTTAAATTTCTTTTCTATAAATTTTATAATTGTGTTCAATACCAGGAGTATATATATGTTGATAATTATATTAATCTTATATCTTATAGTGTGGTGGTTTGTTTGATTTTTCTGTTATTTGTTTGTTTGTATGTTTGTTTACTTGTATATATGTTCTTTTTTTCATAAACGTATTTATTTTAAATTAATAAAGATATATTTTAAAAAGTAAAATGTTATGTCTATCTCTTCCCAAGGGTCATCTTTCTAGTCCGACCTCCTACAATGCAGGAATCTCAACCAAGACCATCCAAGGCCATCTAACCTCTGCTTAAAAACCTCCAGCGAAGGAGAGTCCGCCGCCTTCCGAGAGATTCCTTTCCACTGTCAAACAGTGTAAAAGGAGAATGGGGAGTGTACCTTTCTGCATGAGATCAAGAAAGGAAGCGCTCCAGCTCCTCAAGAAGTTGGTCAGCCAAGCATTCTTTGGAAGTTGTGGTCTGTTAATTCCTTTGGGAATCAATTCCTCACATGTGCCAGGAGGAGATCACATCCTGCTTCCTTCACAGGGCCATGTTTCCAGAGAATGGTCCGCGTCTCCAGCTCCCAACCTGATGGGCAAGGGGGCAACCAAGCCATCCATACAGTTCCTGGTTGCCCCTTTTGGATCCCAGTGCAGCCTAGTGAAGAGCAAAGCTGTTAACACACCCGCGTTTGCTCAGCACACAACCCAAGCGGAAGCGGAACTCAGGGCCTTTCCTCAAAAGGTATGGTGTGTATACAATCTATGGTTTTAAGGGAAAGGCCTCTGGCGGGAGTGTCCTGAGATTTATTTTGTATTATCTGTTTGCACCATCACTGTGTGCAACCCTTGAGAAAGAGGTTCATGCCCCGAGGGGCTTGCAATCTTTAATTTGACATGGGGAGGCAACAGGGAAAGGTTGAGGGTCCAAGGTGGTTCCCGAGTCCTGCTGAAAGACATAAACCAGAGTCTGTGAGTTTAGATTTAGACAGCTGAATGTGCTTCTGATGGGACGTTCTGTCCATGGAGTTCAGTCTGTGGTTTCCCCATTCACATGTGCAACTTCACTTGAAGTTGCAATCATACAATATATGAAAGGGCTTGCCTCATCTGATTGGCTGCCGTTTTTCTCCCAGAGGCCCTGGAGAACCCACCAAGGAAAGGGCCAGAGAAAGGTTTGAAGGAAATAAAAAGTAAGGCAAAAATATGATTGTTTATGAATAATAATAATAATTTTATTATTTATTCCCCCTCCATCTGGCTGGGTTTCCCTATCCACTCTGGGCGGCTCCCAACAGAACACTAAAATCAGAATAAAACTTCCAACATTAAAAACTTCCCTAAACAGGGCTGCCTTCAGATGTCTTCTAAAAGTCAGATAGTTTATTTCCTTGACATCTGGTGGGAGGGCGTTCCACAGGGCGGGCACCACTACCAAGAAGGCCTGGTTCCCTGTAACCTCACTTCTCACAGTGAGGGAACCACCAGAAGGCCCTCAGAACTAGACCTCAGTGTCCAGGCTGAGCGACATGTGTGGAGACGCTCCTTCAGGTATACTGGGATGAGGCCGTTTAGGGCTTTAAAGGTCAATAACATCACTTTGAATTAACACATACAATCAGGAACCGCCCTCAGACCTGCGGGTATAGGGCAATATATAAATTCAAGAAACAACAACAATTAGGATAGAAAGGGAGAAAAAGCTGCTGGAGGAGGAAGAAGTGAATGTAAAAAGAACAAGTTACAGGTAGGTAACCTGTTGGTCTGCCATAGCTGAAACAAAAAAAAGAACAAGTAATAGGGATGAAGGATTTGCATGGCATGGGGAGGACATGGTACAAGTTGAGCAGAAAAGGAGAATGAAAGAAGAACCACCTTTCTGCATTAGATCAGAAAGGAGGGACTCTAGTTCCTCAAGAAGCTGGTTAGCCAAGCTTCCTTTGGAAGTAATGGCATGTTAATTTCATCGGGAATCCATTCCTCACATATGCCAAGAGGATACTATATCCTGCTTCCTTCACAGGGCCACGCTTCCGGAGAATGGTCTGCGTCTCCAGCTCCCAGGCTGATGGGCAAGAGTGCAACCAAGGCGTCCGTGCAGTTCCTGGTTTCCCTTTCTGGATCCCAGGTCAGCCCTACCAAGGCACTGAAGGAATCCTCATAGAAGCATCTTTGTCCTCGTGCCTCTTCGCCACTTCCCATTGTTTGTGTGGGTATGGCGCCTCCTCAGCCGGACTTTGGGCCAGAACTTTGCTGCTACATCCTCACTAAAGGAGAGCTCCAGGATAGAAGGTAGGAGAAACTATCCATTGCTTGACCCATAGGAAAGCTTCCTTCCCATGTCCCCCATCATCATGCCCCAGACTGGTGCTAGCATGGCTTGGAGCCAGGCGCCTGCTGATGTCTCTGCTTTGCAGCGAGGGAAAGCAGCAGCCTAGCTTTGGAAACTGCCTCTGTTGTCCTGTCCTCATCCTGGGAGAGACTGGAGCCCAGAAGGACAGGTGACTGGGGCAGGAGGAAGGAGGGGGTCCTTATGAAACACATAAGAAGAGCCTGCTGGATCAGGCCCATGGCCCATCTGGTCCAGCATCCCCTTCCCTCTGGGGCTTCCCAGATGCCTGCAAGCAGGATTCAAGCACCAGAGCCCTCTGCTCACCTATGGCTTCCAACAACTACTTTGGAGAAGCATTGCTGCCTCTCACTGTGGAGGCAGAGCGTTGCCATCATGGCTAGCAGCCTTTGATAGCTCTCACCTCCATTGAATCGTCTAATCCTCTTTTAAAGCCATCTTATCTGAGATGCTCTTCCGGTGCATCTGATTCTCCCATGCTTCATTGTTCCAGCAAGAGGGTGGCAGGCTATTGGGAGGTCGGCAGTGTGATTTTGCCCTCGCACCATACAAAGTTACAGCTGGTTCGTAATTACATGCACCTCATTACCCGATCCAGTGCTTTTCTTTAGAGAAAAAGTTTCCAGTACAGTACTGCGTATCCTAGAGTACCCCCAGAAAAAAGCACCAATTATATCACAACCACCGCACCATACATCGAAAGCCCTCTTCTACCACTTTCAAGGTCTTGACTTTTAAAAGTATCTTTCAAAAAAAAACACCAAAGTCCTTTTTGCTGGGGATAATTCAGACGGAAATTCCCAGGTGTCAAAAAAGGTTGTTTATGTCTGCCACTACTGTGGCCTGTGTTTCGTTAGCCCAAAAATGGAAAACGAGTGAGGTCCCAACTAAAGAAGAATGGCAACTTAAACTGACAGAATATGAGCAGCTTGCAGACTTAACATACAGAATAAGAGAACAAGAAGAACATACTTTTAGAGAAGATTGGAAAACGTTTATTGAATACATGGGAAATAACTGTGTACACTTGAAAATGCTGGCAGCATTAAGATAAATTCAACAGTGTAAATAAGTTTTGATGGATGTAATAATGGAATACTGAATGGTTTAGTTTTTGTAAAATATGCAGAGATTCATGAGGAATGCAAAGGAACAAGGGTAGAAAGATGAGCTACATTTACAGGGGCAGCGGTCACAAGGCACTCTCATGACAGCTGCAGAATGGGAGTATTAAGAACGGGAGAACAGCTCGTCTGAATCGGACTAAACAGCTTTCTGAATATAAACAGAAGACTACACAGCAGCGTTATGCGTTACTTTCTCAGCCCCACCGGTGTAGGGATAGCAGCACAGGATAAAGCTACAGGACTGCTTTGGGACTCTTCCAGCCCAACCTGCAACAGGGGTACTAGACTACATTGCAGGCTTCTTGTAAAACACTTTCTCTTCATTGCCCTGACTCTAACATCATAGCTGTCAACTTTCAGATTTGAAAATAAGGTATCAGCAGCCTCGAAAATAAGGAATCAGCAGCCTCACCTGTCCCGGGGACAGTCTACAGGATATCTAACAATCCAGGATAGCAGTGGGAAGTGGCGCTGGAATAAGGGAATTTCCCGCAAAAAAACGGAAGGTTGACAGCTATGTCCAACATGCAATACTCAAAGTGAATTACACTGCAGAGTCGTCATACTCCCAGCCACAACCACCTCAAACTTTCATTATGGGATAATGAACTGCGTTTGTATGGAAATCTGCATTTTTTAAAACGTCTGAAAGCAAAACAAGGGTTTCCCTCCCTGCACATCAAATGAGTTTCGATTAGAGGAGCACAAACTATTTGCTGCTACCATTTTGTTCAGTGGTTAACGTGCCGTCATACGTTTACAGGGGCATTTAACATCTTGGCTTTCTCTGCAGATTTCTGGGGGTGGTGTGAATAAGCAAAAATAGCAAAACAGCACATGTTCAGTATAACTTAAAAAAAATATTCAGTTCTCCCTATCCCGAGGATTCAGGATTCATATTCATAGCTATCAAAACCAATGAAGCCAATAGAAAGCACAAGTGACTTTCACAATGATGAAAAGCGAATGCATAAAATAATAGCAGTAATTGCATGTCTGAAGAAGACGGTAGTGTGCAAAAGCCGATGCCATGGCAGATTTGTCTTAATCTTTAATGTCTCACTTCCAAAGTTGCTGCCCAGAACTCTTTTTTTTATCCTCTTTTGAAGAAGAGCAGGCTGAGTCATTTCCTATAGGGCTCAAGTATGATAGCAATTTAACTATGTGATGCTTTGACTTGTTAAGTGTTACCAGGCAATGGCTGTCCTGATACAATCCGGAAGAGCTCTTGATTTCCTTCCAGTGCTGGTGCAGTCGTTTTTAATTCACATGGAACTTTAGCTGCCCTCGCCTCATACTAAAAGAATGCTCAGGACCTGATTTTATGTGCCTGAAAAAAAGAGGCGGAGGAAGTGGTTAGCAGCAGATAAAAGTACCAGAGAGCATGGCATTAATGCACTAAAATAATGCTACAGTGACTGGGCAACCTTCCTCTGTTAGGGAGAGTACATTTAATAGTCTAGGATGGCAAGGGGGATTTTCCTTTAATGGATGCTAATTTGGGGGCTATTGCAGGTATCATTTGTTATGGCCATGCAAGGGGGAGGCAACTAAGCTCCTGTATTTCAGACACATGGTTCATACCATGCTTTTTTCTGGGGGGACGCATACCCCTAAACATATTGTGGATCTAAGCTCGGCCTCATTGAGAGGCAGGATTTCAATATGAGTAGGAAAATGAGAGTACCCCTAAACATTTTTTTAAAGGGAAAAAGAGCACTGGGTTAATATATTTAGATATGGGTGCATTTATGAATATTTGTTCTATATTTGAGACCTTTGAATTCTTAGAACAATGTTCACCCCGATCCTGGAGGGCTGGATCGAAGGAAGGCTCTTCATAAGAGCTGGATCAGGCCAGTGGCCCACCTACAGCAGCATCGTGGTCTCACTCGGTTCTGACCCCCCCCCTAAAATAAATCTTGGCTAGGCTATGTTCAAAAGCATGATGATGATGATGATGATGATTACTACAATAGAAGGGTTTTTCTTTAGTAGCATTTCCTAATCTGTGGGTCACACAGCCTGTGCAAATGGATCACAGGCTTTAGAAGTAAACCCCAAGAATCAGTCCTTAACTGATATGAACACCTCTAGTTTTGTTAGCATGATAATACTGTTTTGATGTTTGTAACTGAACATCAGAAAGACTCGAGCTCTATTATCACAGGGCCGCCATACGTCCCTGCTTCTCCAGGACATGTCCGGGAATCTGACTGTCAAAATGGAGTCCGGGCGGAATTTCGCCAAATTGGAAAACCTGGACGCATGGCAAATAGGGCAATGTTCTGAAAAAAACTTCAATTTCTTAAATAAATATTTTGTTTTTTGTTATGTTGGATATGTGATTGTAAAACTTTAATTTGAAAAACCAAATAAATAAATTTTTATATATAGTGGTACCTTGGTTTAAGAACAGCTTAGTTTATGAACAACTTGGATTAAGAATGCTGCAAACCCAGAAGTAGGTGTTTTGGTTAGTGAACTTTGCCTTGGAAGCAGAATATGTTCCGCTTCCTGTTGAGTGTGTTCCATTTGTAAATTGAGTCCCCCACTGCTATGGGAAAGCACGCCTTGGTCTAAGAACGCTTTGGTTTAAGAATGGACTTCTGGAACGGATTAAGTTTGTAAACCAAGGTACCACTGTATATATAAAAAAGAGAAACGTAACTGAATTTGACACTTGAATAAAAACGTCAAGTAAACCCTCCATCATGCATGCTGGGGTGTGCTTCTTGGTTTCATATTTACCCGTTTTAGAATCTTGTAGCTGTAGTATGAATAGCTTAGTTTCTTCTTTGTTCTGTCTGGAAGGATGTGAGCGAGTGTTGAGGAACAGAGTCCACCTTGCTGATAAGAAACCAATGTTTCCTTCATTACAGCTATAAAGGAGTAAGGGCACAATCACAACAGTGCTGACAAACCAAGATAAGGTTTCAAGAGGGGTTCACTGAAAGTTTAATCCTACGTGCCCAATTTAGAAACAAAATTTCTTTAAAAGCATTCAAACATTAGGAACATTTGAATACAGTCCTTCCTGTTGCCTCTGCAGCGTCATTATTATGTTTTATATTTGTATTATTATTTAGAAGAACCACAGATTAAGATGTGAAACAAGACAAAACTCTGAAAACAAAGTTCCTAAGCACTAAACTGGGAACCACCATCTCACAAGTCTATACACATTCCATGCTAGGCGCCATCTAGTGGCCGATTTCCATACAAAACTCATGAAACTGCCCTCCTGTCTTATCTAATGCTATTTATGTGAGCGTCCGTTTGATACTGGGGAGTGGGTATTTGTAATCTCTGTCTGCATGTACGAAAAAAGCCACAAAGCTAGATTTTGCTCGGGTTTTCCACCCCTTAAGGTAAAGGTAAAGGTACCCCTGCCCGTACGGGCCAGTCTTGACAGACTCTAGGGTTGTGCGCCCATCTCACTCAAGAGGCCGGGGGCCAGCGCTGTCCGGAGACACTTCTGGGTCACGTGGCCAGCGTGACATCACTGCTCTGGCGAGCCAGAGCCGCACACGGAAACGCCGTTTACCTTCCCGCTTGTAAGCGGTCCCTATTTATCTACTTGCACCCGGCGGTGCTTTCGAACTGCTAGGTTGGCAGGCGCTGGGAACCAAACGACGGGAGCGCACCCCGCCGCAGGGATTCGAACTGCCGACCTTTCGATCGGCAAGCCCTAGGCGCTGAGGCTTTTACCCACAGCGCCACCTGCGTCCCAACTTTCCACCCCTAGCAAGCTACAAATAGTTCATACCACAAACCTATGTCTGCTCAGAAGGAAATCCCATTGGGTTAAATGGAGTTTGTACCCAGATAAACGTTCTAGGTCGGATTATACCCTCAGTCTAAAGGATTATAGCACTGAGGTTATACACCGTTAAACTAAGCACTTACAGGTGTTCCATTAACTTATATTTTTATCTTCATCAATTCTCAGGTGATCATGCTTACTTCTGTTGCTGCAAAAAGCTTATCTACTACTGCCTACAGCCCAAGTAACAACTGAAATGACCCAAGGACCCAGAGGTGGATGAAGAGCTGGAAACCCAGATTAAGGTAGCACTTAAAGCACTCTTGTAAACTTTGGGTCTGTCAAGGAAACTAGGCTACAATTCATACCTAAAGAAGGGGAAATGAGGAAGAACACTGTTGCACTAAGGAAAACATGAAGTACAAGGAAGTCGGGTTATATAGCCTAAAAATATGGATGAGTAAACCTATACCTAAGGCTTAAAGGTACAGGTAAAGGGACCCCTGACCATTAGATCCAGTCGTGGCTGACTCTGGGGTTGCGGCGCTCATCTGGCTTTATTGGCCGAGGGAGTCGGCATACAGCTTCCGGGTCATGTGGAAAGCGTGACTAAGCCTCTTCTGGCGAACCAGAGCAGCGCACGGAAACGCTGTTTACCTTCCAACCGGAGTGGTACCTATTTATCTACTTGCACTTTGACGTGCTTTTGAACTGCTAGGTGGGCAGGAGCAAGGACCGAGCAACGGGAGCTCACCCCGTCACGGGGATTCGAACCGCCGACCTTCTGATCGGCAAATCCTAGGCTCTGTGGTTTAACCCACAGCACCACCTGCATCCCTAGCTAAGGCTTAGCATAGCATTTAATAGAACAAGCTCTCTCTCCCCAACATTTTCTTCGTAGTGGCTTTGTCCTTATGCTTTTTAGCCGTCCTATATGCAGCGGTTTAAGAAGTTAAAGCTTCTTCTTTTAGGAAAGCAAGTGGCAAAGTGTCATTAGCCAAGTTTCTAGCATCCTATCAGTTCCAGGTGCAACAAATATAATTCTCACCTCGTTGGTTTAAATTTAAATTTGTAATGCGCCATTTGTGGTCCCAATCTACTTGAGCTGATATGAGGATGCTAAATCCGGAACTGCAGTTCTCATTTTCTGCTTCTGGGGGGCAGTTTCCACATTGAGCTTTCTGCTGAACAAACCCTGGGAGTTTGCCATGGAATTGAACGTGTTGAAAAGGATTCAGAGAAATGTTTTAGATAATATATTAGAAGAACAACACCACTGGATTCGGCCAAAGGGCCATGGGCATAGCCAGGATTTTAGTTGGGGGTGGGGAGAACCTCAGTTCACGATGTATTTTTATTTATTATGGGGAGGGCAGATGCCCCTCCCTGCCCCCTGGCTATGCCCATGCCAAAGACCCAGTTAGTCCACAGTGGCCAACAAAAACCCTATGAGAAGCCTCTGAAGCAGGAACTGAGCTCAACAGAACTCTTCCCAACCATACTCCCCAGCAGCTGACATTCAGGGGCACAATTCAAAGTGCTGGTCATTAGCTATAAAGCCCTATGCAGCTTAGGCGCAAGCTATCCGAAAGACCGCATTTCCGAAACCTGCTTGGGTTTTGTGATCTTCAGGGGACGGCCCTTCTCCTGGTCCTGCCACCCTTGCAGGGACACTTGGTGGGGACGCGGGAGGGGCTTCTTGGCGGTGGCTGCTCCAAGACAAGGGTGGTGCTGTGGTCTAAAACAATGAGCCTCTTGGGCTTGCCGATCAGGTCAGTGGTTTGAATCCCTGCGTGGGGTGAGCTCCCGTTGCTCTGTCCCAGCTCCTGCCAACCTGGCAGTTCGAAAGCATGCCAGTGCAAGTAGATGAACAGATAGCACTGCAGCGGGAAAGTAGATGGCGTTTCTGTTCGCTCTGGTTTCCGTCACGGTGTCCCGTTGTGCCAGAAGTGGTTTAGTCATGCTGGCCACGTAACCTGTAAAGCTGTCCGCGGACAAACGCCGGCTCCCTTGACCTGAAAGCGAGATGAGCACCATACCCCAGTCAACTTTTTACCTTTTTTGTTCCAATACAACTTGGGAACTCCTTCCCTAGAGAAGCTGAACTAGTTCCCCCCCTTGTTATCTTTCCACAGGCTTTTGAAAACTGACCGTTTTTAACAAAGGGGCTGGTGCCCTGCTGTTTTGGGTGCGATTGTCTGTATGTTTTTAATAGATCTTTCCTACAGAGAGACAGTTTTAATTCTATTAATGTTTGCTTGTTTTTTAATTATAGGTGCCCCCCTCATATTTTTAGCTATTCTTACATTATCTGAAAACAACCTTGAGTCCCTGTTGGGGGGAAAAGGTAGGGTATAATAATAATAATAATAATAATAATAATAATAATAATAATAGTAGTACAGTGGTACCTCGGGTTAAGTACTTAATTTGTTCTGGAGGTCCGTTCCAAACCTGAAACTGTTCTTAACCTGAAGCACCACTTTAGCTATTGGGGCCTCCTGCTGCTGCCGTGCCGCCGGAGCACAATTTCTGTTCTCATCCTGAAGCGAAGTTCTTAACCTGAAGCACTATTTCTGGGTTAGCAGAGTCTGTAACCTGAAGCGTATGTAACCTGAGGCATCTGTAACCCGAGGCACCATTGTACATTGGTCTGCTGCCTTTGTGTCTGAGAGCAGAATCTCTGTAAGGAGACATGTGCAGTGCAATAGCTAGGATTAGCATCCAACGCGACGAGACTGGTGCATCTCACAGTATGTTTTTTTTTATGACAGCTATGGGAAGCTGCATTGCATGTTTTCGTTAAGTTCACTTTACTAGTGCATTCTCGTTTATTGTTGTCCCCTTTATTGGGGAAGGTCTCTACCTAACTTGTGCTACTCCTCTCATAACAGAACAATAAAGCAGAACTTTCCAAACTTTGCATTGTGACACGTTAGAATCTTCAACACAGTGTGTAGGCTGGAAAGGGGATAGTTTCACCTCTGCTTTGCTAGTAAAATGGAATTACCGTGTCACAAAATGTTGCATGTCTAAAAAGCGCGCCACCAGCATGAAAAGTTTGGAAAACTGCAATAAAAATTCTTTTTTATTTTTTAAAAATGCAATTAAATTGCAAATCAAGGGTCCACCTAGGCTGACATCCTGCCTCATCCTCCATATCCATCCTCAATAGCAAAACCAAAGTAGCTGCTTGAAATATCCCAAAGGCATTTTTAAAAAAGAAAGAAAAAAGGTTGGAGCATTAGCCTCTCCAACCTGGACTCACTCATGAAACCCATTGAGGAATATGGATAGAAAATTTACAGTATTAAAATTATATGAAAATGATATATCAATGGTACCGTTATAAGAATTCTATGGTCCCAAATATAAAATAAACATTCATAAATGTACAAGGGAAACACATACATAAGTATATAAACCACATGTCTGAAATAGTACAGGAGAGCAATCCTGAAGTCATTTTGACTTTCCCACTGACCCTCCGAAATTGACCTCAAATATTTCTTGGCAAGGAGGAAGGAAATGGAAAAGCCTCTTCATTGTCTTTTGCTTACCTGTCTTAAGGACGTATTTGAGTATGAATAGGGTGAGCCTGTGGCCTGGATTCAGGAATTAAAGTATTTACTATCACAGAAGAATGACAGGGCTGCCCAGGTAAAGCAATCAGTGACCACTGTCAGGTATCCTGGAAGACAGGATTTCTGCTGTAGACAGCCTCCTGTGATGTATTTCTGCTATAGACCTGCCTCCTTCTGTGATGTATGTATGTTTTTGGGAGTAGTCTTGAGCTACAGGGTGGGCAATTTAAAAAGTCTATATAAGGGCTTGTGCACCATTGTTCAGGGTTCCTCCTCTCTCCTGCGTGTGGTGAGTGAGGACCCTGTTGCAACAGTTTAATAAAGATCAGGATTACCAGCTGCTTTGCTTCTCAATATTCTCTGGTTGGCCTGTTATTTTCTCCTACCGACAGGGAACCCACTTAAGGACTCTATACGGGCTCTTGGATACCCCATAAGGGAAAGGAGCAGTTTTTCTTATAACAGTACCTACCACCAAGTAAACTGGCAAAAATGTATAAATCTAAATCAAATAAGTGTTGGAAATGTAAAGAGAAAGAAGGTTCTTTTTATCATATGTGGTGGTCTTGTAGTAAGGTTAAAGCTTACTGGGAATTGATATATAATGAATTGAAAAAGATGTTTAAAATAACGTTTGTAAAAAACAACAACCAGAAACTTTGCTTTTGGGAATTATAGGGACAGAACTATCCAAACTGTAAAGAAATTTATTCATGGATGCGACTACAGTGGCTAGAATGTTACTTGCCCAAGAATGGAAAGAAGTCCCAGTGAAAGAAGAATGGATTCAAAAACTTATGGAATATGCAGAAACTGCAAAACTTACCAGAAAAATTAGAAATCAAGGTAACAAACTTTTTATAAACTTTTTATAAAGTTGGAGTTGTAAAAAGGAGATAGGATCTGTGGTGGACTTGTATGGTTATAAGCAGGTTTTAGAATAACATATGATGAATTTAAGAAATTATTTAAATTTACTTTTAAAAAAAGACCGGATATTTTCCTTCTAGGAATACTGCCAACAGAAATAAAGCAAAATACAAGACCACTGCTTATGTACTCAATTACAGCTGCAAGAATACTGGTAGCAAGAAGCTGGAAATGCGAAATAACACCTACAAGACAGGATGCTATAACTGAAATTATTTTCTTATTGTTAATTCTCTTTTGTTTTTATTTTTATTCTCTTTCTCTTTTTATCTTCGTGTTTAATTTTGTTGTAACCATTTGTAATACATTTGTAAGATGATATTTTAAATCAATAAAGATTGTTTTTTTAAAAAAGAGATATGCGGAAACTGCAAAACTTACCAGAAAAATTAGAAATCAAGGTAACAAACTTTTTACAAAAGAATGGAAATGGTTTACTGAATATTTACAAACTGTAAACAGATAAGAACATTGGCAGGATTATTGTAATCACCTGCAGTTTCATAAGAGTAAATATTTAAAGCAGATGAATAAATGAACAAATCAAGTTAATTTGGATATGCAGAAAACATGAAAAATAAATTTAAGGAACTGCAGAAAGAGAGGGAAGGAAGTCAAGCTTTGAAATGTTCAAATGACTGTAAAATTATGGAAATGTATCAAACTGAAAATCATTTTTTAAAAAAGAAACCCATTGAAGCCACTCTCTGTGGGCTTAGCCTACTTCACAAGATGGTTGTAAAAGAGGAAAAGGAAAGAAAAGCCACGCACCTCGCCTGGAGCTCCTTGAGAGGAAAGGTGGGTTACAAGTGTTCTAAGCTACCCACGCCTGGAAGAAGCGGACCATTTGTATCCCTTCCAGTCGGGATTCAGGCCTCATCATGGGACTGAAACTGCCTTGGTCGCACTGGTCGATGATCTTCGGCGAGCTAGGGACAAAGGTGAGAGCTGTTTCCTAGTTCTGCTGGATCTCTCAGCGGCTTTTGACACCATCGACCATAACATCCTTCTGGACCGTATAGAGGGGCCGGGAGCTGGGGGCAGTGTTATACAGGGGTTCCGCTCCTTCTTCCTGGGTCGTGTTCAGAAAGTGGGGGGGGATGAGTGTTCAGACCCCTGGGCTCTCACTTGTGGGGTGCCTCAGGGTTCTGTCCTCTGCCCCATGCTTTTCAACATCTACATGCAGCCGCTGGGAGAGATCATCAGGGGGTTTGGGCTGGGTGTTCATCAGTATGTGGATGATACCCAGCTCTTCCTCTCTTTCAAATCGGAACCAGTGAAGGCGGTGAAGGTCCTGTGTGAGTGTCTGGAGGCAGTTGGAGGATAGATGGCGGCTAACAGATTGAGGTTGAATCCTGACAAGACAGATGTACTGTTTTTGGGGGACAGGAGGCGGGCAGGTGTGGAAGACTCCCTGGTCCTGAATGGGGTAACTGTGCCCCTGAAGAACCAGGTGCGCAGCTTGGGAGTCATTCTGGACTCACAGCTGTCCATGGAGGCACAGGTCAATTGTTTCCAGGGCAGCTGTTTATCAGCTCCATCTGGTACGCAGGCTGAGACCTTACCTGCCTGCGGACTGTCTTGCCAGAGTGGTGCATGCTCTGGTTATCTCTCACTTGGACTACTGCAATGCGCTCTATGTGGGGCTACCTTTGAAGGTGACCCGGAAACTACAATTAATCCAGAATGCGGCAGCTAGACTGGTGACTGGGAGCAGCCGCCGATATCATATAACACCGGTCTTGAAAGACCTACACTGGCTCCCAGTACATTTCCGAGCACAATTCAAAGTGTTGGTGCTGACCTTTAAAGCCCTAAATGGCCTCGGTCCAGTATACCTGAAGGAGCGTCTCCACCTCCATCGTTCTGCGCGGACACTGAAGTCCAGCGCCAAGGGACTTCTGGTGGTTCCCTTGCTGCGAGAAGCCAAGTTACAGAGAACCAGGCAGAGGGCCTTTTTGGTAGTGGCACCCGCCCTGTGGAACGCCCTCCCACCAGATGTCAAAGAGAAAAATAACCAGACTTTTAGAAGACATCTGAAGGCAGCCCTATTTAGGGAAGCTTTTAATGTTTGATAGGTTATTGTATTTTAGTGTTCTGCTGGAAGCCGCCCAGAGTGGCTGGGGGGACCTAGCCAGATGGGCGGGGTATAAATAATAAATTATTATTATTACATCGAGAGACGACGTTTGAACGTCACGTCGTATGCTAGCGCGCCCTTCGGAGCAAGCCGCCAGGCGGCCCTGCAAGTAAAGCTTTCATAGAGCGAGAGAGGGGAAGGGCGGCAGGCATCCACGAGTGGGCGTGGCTTCTCCCTGCCCGCAGCCCCGCCCAGCTCGGGCGTGACGCGCGCGCCTCCAGTCTCGAGCGGCCTCTCAGGTGAAGGGGGCGTGGCCTCCTCGAGTCGACTCCCTCGGCCGGTCGGCTGCGCTTTTTCTGCCCGGCTCCGGCGCGCGCGCGCCCGCCCGTCCTTCTTCCCTTCGCCTTCGCCCGCAGTGTGGGCTTTGCCGCTCCGTCCGCCGGGTCCCTTCACACCCTTCGCAGCGCCATGGCAGAGCAGGAGAGCCTCGAGTTCGGCAAGGCGGACTTCGTGCTGCTCGACGCCGTCTCCATGCCCGAGTTCATGGCCAACCTTCGGCTGAGGTAAAAAGAAAGGAGTGGGGGGAGTGGGCGGGGCGTCGCGGGTCCCTCTTTCTCTCTCATGGCGCCCCTCCCCATCGAATTTCCGAGGGAGGGGGCAGGAGCAGAGATCTCTCTGATTGGTGGGTTGAGACTGGGCAGGGGGGAAGCAGGCAGGTGCTAAGGGTCGCGGATTTTGCGCGGGATTCGAACTCAGCGCTCCCGAGCGGTCCATTATCAGCGAGCGTTTCTCTCTCGCGCGCGTACCTGGAGCTCTTTTTTATACATCCTTGCAAGCCCTCGCTGCCCCGGAAAACCGCCCGGGCGTTGCTGCGGTTCCCCGGTGCGCGTGGGGTGGCTAAAGACCGAGAGCGAAAGAGAGGGCGGGTTGCCTCTGGGCCATATGGGCTGAGTTCGTGGGAAGAGGCAAGATTCCGAGCGGGTTATTTCCTGGTTGGTTGGCAACTCCGTTTTCCTGGTCGCTGCCTGAAGTGCACCTGGTTGCAAAAGTTTCCTTCTGTGGATAGGCTCGTTTAATCTTATCCTGATAATGATTTTGTGGTTTTTTGTTGTTGTTATTAAAATCCAGTCACTTAAATAGGAGCTCAGTCTAATTCCGCAGCATCTTATTGCCAGTAGTGGCCATAAGGAGGGTGTTAGCTTTCATAGAATCATACATCAATGGTTTTGCTAGGTGGATGAGTCGGAGACCATATTCTTTTGGGGGAAGGTAGCTGTGGACCGGGGACGCAGGTGGCGCTGTGGGTAAAAGCCTCAGCGCCTAGGGCTTGCCGATCGAAAGGTCGGAGGTTTGAATCCCCGCGGCGGGGTGCGCTCCCGTCGTTCGGTCCCAGCGCCTGCCAACCTAGCAGTTCGAAAGCACCCCCGGGTGCAAGTAGATAAATAGGGACCGCTTACAAGTGGGAAGGTAAACGGCGTTTCCGTGTGCGGCTCTGGCTCGCCAGATACAGCTTCGTCACGCTGGCCACGTGACCCGGAAGTGTCTCCGGACAGCGCTGGCCCCCGGCCTCTTGAGTGAGATGGGCGCACAGCCCTAGAGTCTGTCAAGACTGGCCCGTACGGGCAGGGGTACCTTTACCTTTTACCTAGCTGTGGACCACCTACCTGTGATGGGGTGTGTGGGGAGGTCTGGAGCAAAAAGTGGGTGGAAGAGCTTGTCTGTCTGCCTCTCTTCCCTTAATTTGTTCACCCATGCATTCAGTCTCTCCATTTCCACACTCATTCATTCATTCATTCTCTCACACCTGTTCACAGTACCCTTCTCTCACTTTTATTCTTCTATCCGTTCATTACAGTGGTGCCTTGGGGTACATACGCTTCAGGTTACAGACTCCGCTAACCCAGAAATATTACCTCGGGTTAAGAACTTTGCTTCAGGATGAGAACAGAAATCGTGCTCTGGCGACGCGGCGGCACCAGGAGGGCCCCATTAGCTAAAGTGGTGCTTCAGGTTAAGAACAGTTTCAGGTTAAGAACGGATCTAGAACAAATTAAATACTTAACCCGAGGTACCACTGGCGCTGGTAGACCACACTGACGCGGGTGGCGCTGTGGGTAAAAGCCTCAGTGCCTAGGGCTTGCCGATCGAAAGGTCGGCGGTTCGAATCCCCGCAGCGGGGTGCGCTCCCGTTGCTCAGTCCCAGCACCTGCCAACCTAGCAGTTCGAAAGCACCCTCGGGTGCAAGTAGATAAATAGGGACCGCTTACCAGCGGGAAGGTAAACGGTGTTTCTGTGTGCTGCGCTGGCTCGCCAGAGCAGTGATGTCACGCTGGCCACGTGACCCGGAAGTGTCTGCGGACAGCGCTGGCTCCCGGCCTATAGAGTGAGATGAGCGCACAGCCCTAGAGTCTGTCAAGACTGGCCCGTACGGGCAGGGGTACCTTTACCTTTACCTTTAGATCACACTGAAGGTGGTGGAGGACTGTAGGTGACCCTTGTGCTTTGTATTGTTCATGTGTGGTCCTGCTAGGTCAAATCAAGGGTCTACCTAGGCTGACATCCTGCCTCATGCCCAATATCCACCCTCAACAGCAAAACCGAAGTAACTGCTTGAAATATCCCAAAGGCATTTCATTTTATTTATCTAAGTATTTTGAACTTTCCCTGTCTTTCAGGGTAGATCCCCTCCCAAAGGAGAGCATAGAGAGATTTTTATCACCACCATTTCAACGTTCATCAGTAAGCACTGTGATTTGAATGCCATGTTTGTAGTGCATCTTAATCATAGCATTGGTAAGGTGTTGTTAGTCAGGGATCCTGCCATCATCACCGTGCCCACATTCCTAACCCTATGAAATCTAGACCACAAAATGTTTCATAATCAGAGAACAGGTAAACTGCAGAAAAGCTGCTCTTAGGTATCCCTCTGTCCCCCATATTACCCAACCAGGATTGCATAGCAGCCTGTGAAAATAAAACAAAATACCAGCCATTGTTTTGGCAGCTCCTGCAAGTGAACAGAGAGGGAGAGACTGATTATCTCTTTCTGATCTGTGTTGTTCACAGCAGTTGTGGCCAAAATCTGAGAGTATTTTGCCATCCTGTCCAGAATCTTCATCCAGCGAAAATGGTAGCTGAGTTGGGTTACCTGGCACATCTTGCTTTTCAGTAATGTAAAATATATGTTTAAAAACTGAACTGAAAAAGCAGAATTGAATACGATGATTAATTGCTAATTCCCTCCAGGGCTGCCATGTGTTGGCAATGTGATCATGAAACACCTGCCCTGCGGCTATTTCATAATCACTATGCCCTGGCAAACAGCTCTTTCAAGGAACAGAATAATGGCTGAAATTCTTGAAGGCAGAACAGGGAAAATAATTTGAAAGGGGGCGGGGGAGAGAATAAGGTAAAATTTTCAGTCTTCTCTCCCCTCACCATCATTCAGAAAGTAGCATTTATGTTTATGATCTTGAGAGTGCTTGTTTGAATGGAACTTATTTTCAAATAAGTATGCTTAGGCTTGCTAAGTGGAGTATCAAAACTTTTTGCAAATATATATTCTCTTCCTTCATTGCAAGTAAGTTGCATCTAGCTTTCTTGCAGCGAAACAGGCATCTCCTCTTCTAGATGTTTAGCTCAGTTGCAGCAGCTGGTCAGTGCCTATTTTTGTTGGTTTCGTGGCAAAATGGTGTTCCATTTCTCTGGGCGGGTGTGTGGTCTGTGGCTGTAGACATGTCACTATATTTAAACACATTTGGCACATATGAGCATTTCTGGGTTGGCGAAGTTTATATTTCATGAAAACAGACATGCTGATCCTGGACATATCTTTATGGAACTTTGTTCAATTGGTTTCAGTTCAGTTTATTTTTAAGTAAATATGCTTAGGACGTTAGCATAAGCCCTAATTCATCTAGGGATAAATTGTGCAATTTGGTTTCAAAGACATAGCTGATGAACAGGATTTATGGTCTCCTACTGAAGCCTCTCTCCCCTTGTGCGATCTAGCATACTTTCTCCTATACTCTGGATTAGTTGTCCTCCTTGTCTTCCAAATCTCTCTTGAAAATCCACTACTTCCAGAAGTGTTTTCAGGATCACAAGAGTAGTGGTGCCTGTTCTTCCAGAAGCAAGACAACTATCTAGAGTTGCCAAATGGAAGTTCCTTGAAAATCTGGGCTATGTCAGTTCCTGGATGGGATAATGTTTGGAAGTCATCATAGAGCTAGAAGGAGCCATATAGGAACCTCTCGTTGCAGGGAAGCCTCAATTAATGGCTTTCCAGACTCTGCTTGAAGACCTTCAGCAAAGAACCCCACCCCAAGTCTTTATTTCCATTGTCAAAACTGATATTATCATTAAGGAGATTTTCCTAATGTTGAAGCAAAATCTACCCTCTTGTAATTTAAACCCATTAGATCTAATCCTGCCCTCTGAAGCAGCATGGAGCAAGTCTTTGTTCTTTTCTTTAGTGACAGCTGTTTAGGTAACTGAAGTGTGCTGTCATCTCCCACATCCTGCCCCCTTTTCATGGCCAGGATAAGCATACCCACTTCTTTTAGCCCAAGATTTGGGAACTTGTAGTATTGCAGATGTTGCTGATCCCATATCCCATCACCCCTGGCCATTGGCCATGCTGACTGAGGCTGATGGGAGTTGGAATTCAACGATATCTAGAGGGCCACAGGTTCCTCATTCATTGAATCATAGAACTGTAGAGTTGGAAGGGACCCTGAGGATCATCTAGTCCAACCCCCTGCAATGCAGAAATATGCAGCTGTTCCATACGGGGGTCAAATCTTCAACCTTGGCATTATCAGCACCACACTGTAACCAACTGTCCTGCTTTAACTTTTCCTCATAGGACTTGTTTTTTTTCTTGCCTTCCTCTGAACCAATACCGGATTGTCTATTTCCTCCTTTATTATTTTTTTTATAATAATATTTATTAGTTTTCCAACAAATTGAACACAACACTACAAAAAAGAAAAAACATGCAATAATACAATACAAACAAAACAAAACACTGCAAAACACTAACATACAACTAACAAAACAAAACAAAAAACATTTAAAACACAGTCCAGTTTCAATATTTTATCCTTTCACTAATTTCCACGACCTCCTCACACCTCCCTTTTTGTATTCCACTTCTATTAATTGTTTCAGCAATTCCTTTCCATCTTCCTCTATTTTCTATCCTATAATTAACACATTCTAACCTTATTTTTCCCTTTAATGCTCTAATAATCCATTTATACTTAATTCCTTATAACATTTCTACTAAAGCCATATAACTTCATTCCAACATTTTTCTAACATTCATTAATTTTACAGTATTTCTGTAAATAGTCTTTAAACTTTTTCCAGTCTTCTTCCACCGACTCTTCTCCCTGGTCTTGGATTCTGCCAGTCATTTCCGCCAATTCCATGTAGTCCATCAACTTCATCTGCCATTCTTCCCTGGTGGGTAAATCTTGTGTCTTCCGTCTATTTCCTCCTTTAAGTGCAACAGCCCAGAACAGGGCACAGTACTCCTGATGAAGTAAGACTTCTGCAT